TATATATATATATATATATATATATATATATATATATATATATATATATATATATATATATATATATATATATATATATATATATATATATATATATATATATATATATATATATATATATATATATATATATATATATATATATATATATATATATATATATATATATATATATATATATATATATATATATATATATATATATATATATATATATATATATATATATATATATATATATATATATATATATATATATATATATACACACACAGGGTGACTATACATAAATCACATTATGTATAGTCCATCATTTTAAAATAAAATATATTTTTTTGTAAGTTGATCTACTTTTTTGTTTATGAATCTTAAATGAAAATCGCAGTTTTATTTTAAATAAGTATGAAAAATGATGTCATGTAAATAGTTTCGAAAACATGAGGTCTTTGTAAAGCATTTTCTAACAGAGTTTTTAGCATCTGAGGTTGTTTAGAAAATTTTTTTTCCTGTAATTTTGTAATAAAGTTTTTTTCTTTAAGATCTCCCTAAAAAAAAAATCTGGCACTATCAAATCAAGTAATCATGTAGGCAATAAAAAATTGGATTTTCAAGAATTTAATTGACCTTAAAACATTGCACTTAAATTTTGCACATTGGCTCTAAAATATGAAGTAAAAAACAATAAATACATCAGTTACTCAATAAAGTTGATTTATTAGGTGAATGAAACAGCTTTTACCATCTGTGATCCCTGATGGAAAGTTTTATTACATATAAAATTTTTTTTGAGGCTTAAGTGATTAAAAAAACACTCTTTATAAGCTGGTTACTGATATGACTCTAGTCTTTTCTTCTTAATGGGAAAAAGCTAAAAGCAAGTAAAGCTAAAAGCTAATTGCAAGCATTTAAAGATTTTAACACTAAAGCTAAATTAAAGTATTTTTATGAAACTGCATTTTAAGTTGGTCTTAGAAAAGTTAGAAATCAATAAAATACTTCTTTTACCCAAGTCAGTTTGCTAAACAATGTTGAGACTTCATTCTAAATTTAAACCTAAATGGAATAGACTTGAACATGTAGATAAGTATACTCAACATCAAGAGCTACTCTATAGCTACTTTTAATAAATAAAGAATTTAATTTAGTATTGAAATTTACATGCTGCTTTTGAGCTGGATAGAAAATTATTTGATTTGTTTGACTATGTATTGTATATTCATCTTTTTTTTTTTAATATTTTAGTTGTTTTAAACTTTGTTTAAATTATTTGATTTTTTTTTTTTTTTATAAATAATGGGCATCTAAAATGCTTAAATGAGCTTAGGACTTTTCCCTTTGCCTTATTTGTGACCCTTATTATTATTATTATTTTATTTTAGAAACATTCTTTTTTATTTTTATAGAACAAATACTCTTAAATAATAAGAGAAAAATTTGTAACATGCATCTAAAGTGCTTAAATGGGCTAAGATGCTCCTCAATTTTACCCTTTTGTCTCAATCATGACTTTTAGCACTGTTTGGATTTTAAACTAAACTCTTTTCCAATGTTACAAGGCAAATACACTTGAATGAAAAAGTTTCATGTGACACAACATAAAATCTTGTGATTCCTTTGGCCACCAGTGTAAGTGAGATTTTATAAAAATACCACATAAAGATTAATAACAAAAGATGTTGTATTTAGTTTCTAGGTTAAAAAAAAAAGATAAAAAATACTCAGAACCAGATTTTTCTAGAAATTCAGAACCTTTGAAGAATATTTTTAAAGTTTATAACAGAATGGACATAAAAAACATTACAATTGCTAGTATAAGACATTAAGCTGGTTTAAGAGATACATCAGAAATAGAGAAATCTGCTGATTATTGCTGCTGATTGTCCAAAGCTCTTGCTTATTATTATATAAAGTAAAAATAAAATGATACAAGAGAAGTTCCCAGTGGAATTAGGTACTAAATTTCATAAGATCTCAACAATGTTGTTCCTGTTGTTTTTTTGATTGCAGAAAATACAAAAATATTAACAGAATTTTATGACTTGTCAAAAAGAACAATATTCTATAGCCATTGAACAAGGTGGTGGATATCTATTTTACTTTCTTTCAGAAAATTCTGATCCCAAAAAACATATGAGATAATTGCAGATTACTTTGTTAACTGGTTCATCGCTTTTTTAAGAAAAACTCTTTAGTTTTTATTAATAAGCATTTACATTTTTTTTTTTTAAACATCTTTGCTTCCAACAAAACTGCAAGCAACCACTAATTAGTGTTGGAAGTTACTAGAAAAGAAAAAATGAAGATTGTAGAAAAAGATAACGATTGACAGATGATTTAAAAGATTGCAAATTTGAATTAAAGTTCACCAGCCACTGTGAGCCCAATGCTGTAGCAGAAGTGAGATCCTTTTCAAGCTCTGATAAGCACTTGTTGAATAGTTTTGAAAGGATAGATGACAGCTCCGGAGAACACTTCTGCAAGACTATAACTGGAATGTTGTCTGGGCCACAAGCTGTAGAAGAGTCTAAGCAGGAAATCACTTTAGATACAGTAGCTGGAGTGATACGGATGTCGAGTAATGGATCAACCTGTTTGACGGCTATATCAGGTAGAACGCAACTAGTGGAATCAAGAGATGATATTGATGAAAAGTTCTTAGCAAACAATTCAGCTTTGTCTTTAGGTGAGGTGACAAAGTCGGAACCATACAAAAGAGGTGGAATTACAGACTTGTCTTTATTATTAATACTATTAAAATTCTCCAGAAGTCACAAGAGATGAAATACGCGATTTCATGATCTGAGAATAGTGGGCTTTGGCGTTAGATTTTTAGTTAGAACCATTGTAAAACCTTTTTGCAATGGTTCCTAGCAGTAATAAACTTTTTTCTCATTATTATATTCTCAGTCTGTTTTCTTAAGAATTGTTTTGCTGATAGATATGGAAGTAATGTAAGAGGGCCATCACGAAGAAAGGGTGAATGTGGAGAAACTGAGCACTGACTAGGATCAGAAACAAGACACAAGTTGAGTAGAGAAGGTAAATGATTCGGGTTGTCTGGAAAGCGAGTTGGAAAGTTGACTATTTGAGTTAGAGATTGAGAAAGGCAAAAGTTTTGGGCTTTAATGCCTGCAGAGTCACTGACATTAGAGTCAAGCCATGTGTGATGAGCATTAAAGTCACCAACAACAACAATATTGGCTGATAGATAAAGAGAGAGGGCTGGGTCAATATGATCAGAAATAACATCAAGAAGAGTGCAGTCTAGAGATGAAGGAGAGCGATATAGAACAAAGAAAAAAGTGATAGAGTGAAGTAATGCTAAACAAAAGCACATAAAAGAGAAATCTGTGTATTCAAACCTAGTTAAAAGAGTAGTCTGTGGATTCAAACATATTCCCGACAAATGGGTGAATTCTTACAAATGTGAATGCCCAGGCCAAGCATGTGATTATTGGAGTCTTTACGAATTAAAGGAAGATAACCTTTAACACTAAGATCACAAGATGAGACAGCTGAACTTAAATTAGTCTCACAAAGAGCAAGTAGGTCTGGTGAACTTTGCAAGAGATAAGACTCAACAGAAGAAAAGTTACTTCAAAGACCACAAATTTTAGTGAATGATAGGTTTAGCAAACTTGATGATGACTGTGGTTTTTTGTGTTTTATAGTTTTTTTTACTTTATTCATTTTTAAATTTGTTAAGGAACTTGACTCGAAACATAGATAGTACTCAGCACACTGTTTAATAGCCCCAGCAATTGCCTCATTACTGTTAATAAACCCTAAGCCGTAACAAAAGGCTCTTGCCTTGGCAATGCACACAAAAAGTACAAACAGGGACACCATCTATGTGCAACAAGGCACTGTTAGTACTTTAATATTTTACAGCTTTTGATGGAATCAGCATCTCTGAGAGCTAATACAGAGTTTGCGAAACCTGACTACCAGCTGGCCTCAGAACCGTAAAACTGAGTTTTAGAGCTGTACCTTCATTAGGAGATAATAAAATGAGTTGCTTAGTCATAAAAATAGAGACACAAGCAAAATCTATGCATTGAGTCAAAAAGATTCAGCATTCAACATCCTAAACTGAAAACAATGTATTAAAAATACATCTGCATTAGCCTAATAGATAAAAAAGGGGTGCGAGGCAGGTCAACAGATAGAATCTGTTTATACCTTAAGTCTTTGCATAGGAGGCCTTCTACAAGACAGCAGCCGGATGCATTTAACATCTGCCCAAGATGAGTATTTTTATTGAGACACCATCTCTAGCCTTTACTCAACCAAGAGCCCCAAGGCAGGAGGTGTTTTATGTCAGAGTTGGCATCTCCTAGCCTTTGCCTAAAAAGGCATATCTTACAAGGCAGCAGGGCATGAAGCAGATTGTACTGGGTTACATGTTACCAGTAGCAGGATAAACCTGACTTGACATATGATTTATGACCTGATATGACCTGACATAAATTTTTGACCTGACATATGATATAACCTGACATAAATTTATTATTGGTATTTATTTAGGTCAGTGCTGAATAATAATCTAAGAATGCATAAAGTAGAGAACTCAGTAAGGGTATTCCCATTCATCATCAATATAAATATTGTGATAATTGTTAACTATAAATAATTGTGTTTTGTTTGGGTTAAATTCATTTACTAATGAGAGCCCTAAGCTGTCGCAGATAAAATTACTTAAGATAAGTACTTACATGATATTTATTTGTCATATAGGTACTTATCTGATTTCTGATGTAAAGGTATGAATAAATAAGTTGTCTATAAATGCTTTATCAATAAATTGATTATTTATTCATTTAGTATTTATGTCAATAAAGTTCTTCAATAGAGTATTTAACTTTTTATTTCAATTGTTGCTTTGGTTTTATTTCTTTAATAATTTTTTCCTTTTTTTCTTATTGTTTTGAATTTTTTTTCTCATTATTATTTTTAAAATAATTTTACTTTTTCTATGTATAGTTTTTATTCTATTTTAGGCTATGGAAAGTTTTCCATCAATTTTTTTCAACAAAAGAAGTATGTTTATTATTACCTTCAATTTAACAGTGTACAGCAGTGCATTATATATTCCTTATATTATCTCTATGATTCAATCAAAGGTATGTCTTATGGGCTGAACTATATTACTTTAAAATAGTTTTATAATTTTTTAACCTATTGCATGATTTTAGCTTATTGATATTATTAATAACAAATTATTATGTATTACTTTGTTATTAGTCTTACATATAATATAGTTTGAAAATTAACTCAAGAAAAAATTCTATATTATAGATATTGTTTACCATATATAATATGTGTAAACATGTTAAATATGGTAAACAATATCTATAATATAGAAATAGATTATTCAATCTAACATAACTTTAATAAGTCGCAAAGATCGGGAAAATCAACTGAATAAATTCTGTAAACTTTATGTAATTTGTCACCCTGGTTTGACAAGGTTTCAACAGACATTTTTTCAAAAATTGATAGTAATGTTGGAATTTAAACTATTTTTTATGAGAGTAAGCAAAGTGTGATTAACTTGGCAGCAAATTATACAACTACCAAACAATAATACTGAGCATTATGAACTGAATCAATGATAGACAATACTGTCAAGAAATTCGACATGAGTAACTTAGTTACTTATTCTGACTGCTGTATCCTTTAAAATCGGAACAGTTTAAAATCAAATAGTGTGTTATGTTATAAAATACTTACTTCCTAGTCATTTATGTTACTACAAACATTTATGTTACTACAAAATATTTCCTAGTCATTTATGTATCCAGAAAGTGGATCATGTGCATAATTAAATTGAGAAAACTCACTAGGATAGCTGATTTTTATAGTCCACTTGGTTTATAAGGACCTTTAAACAAGTTAACAGAAAAAATCTTTATCATTATTAATATGTTATTCAAATAAATCCACAAGACTTTAAGGACTATTGTTTAACAGAAAACCTATTTAGCTACAAGTTAGTTCCTTTTTCTAACATTGCTGTGTTATAGTTGTATTTTCTTTTATGCCTCTCCATGATCGAGATTACCCATGAACAAAATTACTAACCAGTGGTTCTACACCTATAAAATGACAGGATGTGATGAAAAGCTTTTAGCTTTATATATGTTTTTAAACATCTTCGCTTCCGACAAGGCTGCAAGCAACCACTAATTAGTGTTGGAAGTTACTAGAATAGAAAAGTTGAAGATTGTAGAGCAAGATAACGATTGACAGACGGCTTAAAAGATTGCATATTATAGGAATCAGGAAAGCAAGATGCAGGAAGCGAATTCCAAAGAACTGATGTTCGAGGGAAAAAACTAGACGAGTAAGAGTTTTTCGAGCACTTAGGAACAGTAACAGAAAAAGAATGAGACTTAATTAAATGACGAGTAGCATGAGAATGAATTTTAGTAGATGGCACAAAAGACTCTAGCTCTTTAGAACAGTGCCCATTATAGTATTTGTAGAAAAGAGAAAGAGAAGTAACATTACAACGATGTGACAAAGGTTGAAGGTTGGCTGCAAGAGCAGGTCCAACTATGTTTACAATGCATTTTTGCACTTTGTCTAAAAGAGAAACGGCATTATTAGAAGATCTCCCTCATATTTGGCAACAGTATTCCGTACAAGGCCCGAGTTTAGATTTATAGAGATAGAGAATAGAATCCAGAGTAAGAAAGTGTCAAGCTTGATAAAGAGATGCAACTTTAGCAGATGCTAATTTTGCAACGGATTTGATATGAGGTTTCCAAGAAAGATAAGAAGTAAGAGTTAATCCTAGAAGATGAAGGGTAGATGACTCGTCAAGTACATTACCGTTCATAAATATAGGAAGGTCTAAATTGTTGCGATAATGATTGGGTGAAAAAACTTGAGTTTTATTTGAATTAAAGTTCACCAGCCACTGTAACTTGAATTAAAGTTCACACAGCCCCATGCTGTAGCAGAAGTGAGATCCTTTTCAAGCTTAAATGCCCCCTCCAAATAATCAGAGGGAGTTGGCTTCTTATCATGACAAGAATAAATGGTAGTATCATCAGCGAACAATGCCACCTTAGATGTGAGAATATCTGAAAGATTGTTAATGTAAATTAAAAAGAGTATAGGGCCAAGGATTGAACCTTGAGGAAACCCTGAGGTTACATAATAAGAAGAAGAGTGCTGTCCATTGAGTATAACTTTTATACTATGATTAGAAAGGAAGGATTCAATAATCTTAAAAATGTTTCCAGATACGCCATAAGAAGAAAGCTTATGGAGAAGACCAGCATGCCAAACTTTATCAAATGCTTTAGAAATGTCAAGAGCAATGGCCTTAACCTCTCTACCTTTATCTAATGTGCAATAAAACCTATCGGTTATTACTGTTAGCAAATCAGCCATAAGGCGAGAAGATCGAAATCCATATTGATGATCAGAAAGTAAGTTATTAGATTTAAGATGAGAGATTAAGTGTTTGTTAATTAAAGATTCAAAAACCTTGCTTATGATAGGAAGAAGACTAATGGGACGGTAGACAAATCAGATTGCTCTCCAGAATTTTTAAAAATAGGGATAACAGATGCTGCTTACCAGCAGGCTGGAAAACAAAACTCTGATAAGCACTTGTTGAAAAGTTTTGAAAGGATAGATGACAGCTCCTGAGAACACTTCTGCAAGACTATAACTGGAATGTTGTCTGGGCCACAAGCTGTAGAAGAGTCTAAGCAGGAAATCACTTTAGATACAAAAGCTGGAGTGATAGGGATGTCAAGCAATGGATCAACCTGTTTGATGGTTATATCAGGTAGAACGCAACTAGTAGAATCAAGAGATGATATTGATGAAAAGTTCTTAGCAAACAATTCAGCTTTGTCTTTAGGTGAGGTGACAAAGTCTGAACTGTACAAAAAAGGTGGACTTGCCCTTATTATTAATACTATTAAAGATTCTCCAGATGTCACGAGGGCCTAATTTTTGTGATGAAATAGGAGATTTTATCATATATGATATATGGTAAATACCATTTATTACCATTATTATTATTACTTAAGTCACACCGTCTTATGCAGAAACATGTGAACTACCAAGCCTTTCAATGGGTTGTATTTTGTCTTGAAATTTATTTTTATTGCAGAAACTCTTTTAAATTTTGGAAGTTTTTTTTAGTTTTTTAAAACTTTAATAAAAGCCCATTGGAAGTTTTCTGAAATAAATGACACACTTTTATAGTAATTGGTAAAATAGATTTTCTTGAAAACTTTTTAAATTTGATGTTAACTCAGATGAAAATGTAAAATATACAAAGGATATTCCTTTAATAACGATAGCAAAAAAATTAATAAAATTTAGGGAACATATAGAAATTGCTGTTGCTGATTGGTTTAAAGATTTGTTTACAATAAAGACAATTAATTCCATAGATCATTTAACACATTGAGTGAACAAGAATATTTTTTACAATCAGTTTGATGCATCTTGTTTTAAATCTTTATTCTCATTTTCTTTTCTTTTTTCTTTTTCTTATTTTTTTACAAAAAAAGTTTAAAAGAAATATGAAATAAAAAAGATCAGAAATATAAAATAGAGTTGTCACACTTTTTAGGAAGATTTTTGTTTAGGTCCCAGGATCATTTATCATTATTGTTGGTTGTTTCAGTGATCTATCAACGGTAGAAAAAGTAAAATACTTATGTGATCAAATTCAATTAAAAATCAAAGAACGAGAAGAAGAGGAAATTAAGGAAATAAATGATGAATTAAAATTTATCAGGTATTACGTTTGGTATTTAAATTTTTTTTTACCAATGAATAATTATGGATAAAACATTTTTAATTATACAATTTTCTAAATACCTTTGTAGTTTTTTAAGCTATATAGTTGAAATTAATTTAAAATAGTTAATTATTATAATTATTCTAAATACTCAAATTAGATGAAAATATTTTAAACAATTTGTTTCTATGAGTTTAAGTATCTTTTTTTTAAAACCTTACAAAGTAAAAAATGTTTAGAAAACAGTATAATACAATATCTTTGTTTTTTAGTTAATTTTTAACAAAAAAAAATTGCTAAAGAATGTTCATCTATATTGTTCTCCATTTTTGCTCATCTACATTGTTCTCTATTTGTGCTCACATACATGGTCCTCCATTTGTGCTCATCTATATTGTCCTCCATTTGTGCTTTTTTACATTTTCCTCCATTTGTGCTCTTTTAGAATCTTCTTCACTTGTTTGTAGCTTGTGTTCTTTTTGTCTCAGTTTCTTTATAACAAAAAAATTTAATTGACTGTATTTTTTATTTACAGGAGTTTGGGAGCAATTTCAAAAGTTGGATTTAAAATAAAGAAACTTGAATCGTTATTAGACCATAGGCCTGCTATATACAAAGATATTATTGTGACAAGTAATGATGGGAAGGTATCATAAACCCTGTCTTTGTTTTGTTAATTTTTTCTTATTATTATTTTCTGTTTTTAAATATTTAGGGCTGTAATGAACTGCGTGAAGTTATACTTAAAATAGCCGTAAAAGAGACTTATTTTCCTCCATATTCTATTGATGATACATTTGAGCAGTTTTATATACATCTTTGTTTGCTAAAAAATGCAAATATAGCATTTCTAAGATGGCATGAAATCCTTTCTATTCTCTATAATTATGGTGTTACAGAAGAGTCAAAAGTTTTGGAAATGGTGAATTTATTGGAAGATTTGGTATTTTGTCAAATTTTTTGTTTTTTATTGTTAAATATTGTTAAATTATTTATTATTGTTCTCAAAATTGTTATTTTGTTTTAGTTTTAGTATTTTTTTTTACCTACTAAAATAATGACCATATGATTTCTCTAGTAAGCTTCTTTTTGCTCTATTCTGTAAAATATTAACTTTATATACAATCTTAAATTTTTCAATGTTGTGTATGAGCAAAATAAAACTTTTCATTATTAACAAAGTCTAAAGGTTTTGTTAATAATGATGATGATGATGCTGATGATGATGATGACGGTGGTAGTGGTGGTAGTGGTAGTTATGATTATAGTCTTCATGATGATTATTGATCCTCCTGTGATTAAATTAAATTTATATTTTCATAAATTTTATACAAAATTTATATTTTTTTATAGTTTGAGTTATTAGTGTTAAATTGAAATACATTTTTTAAGGGATGTTTGCTTGTGCTTAACAAGTCCTCTTGCAACCATCTTGCAAGCAAGTTTTACTTAAAAGACCCCACTAATAATAATCTTGTATGCATCAATCTGCAGTTATTTGCAGATGTTATTGGAAAAATTCACTCTCATAGTACAAGTGCACAACAGTTGTTAAATGAATTAACACAAAAAGATTATATTCGATCAGTATGGCCTGGAAAAAAGCCCTATGAGTGGACATTAAGAAAAGCATTTGATCAGGTTATAGAGAATGGACTATTGCGTGAAACCATTATTCCTTTATTACTTGCGGTGAGGTGATATTTATTTTTTAAAATTTATATTTTTTATAATTTTTTTAAAATTATATATATATATATATATATATATATATATATATATATATATATATATATATATATATATATATATATATATATATATATATATATGTGTGTGTGTGTGAATCAGCCACATATATATATATATATATATATATATATATATATATATATATATATATATATATATATATATATATATATATATATATATATATATATAATTTTTTCAAAATTTTCAAATTTTCTGTCATCCCATAAAAATGAAAACATTTGAGTAAAGCATCAAATAACATCAGAATAATATTCCCATAAAAATGATAATCAACAGTACCAACTTTTATTGTGGTTGACTTATCAATCAATAAAGAAATCTTTGATTTCATAACTTCTGCAAGATTTTTTTTTCTCATTTCTTTACCTATATGATTGACAATGTTAATGCATGCGTTTTTAAAATTAAGAATGCGCCCCCTTTCAATTCTGTTATTTTCTTGAAGATCAATTTCCGTTTCAAAGTTATTAAAGGACTGATTTCGTTTTGCATTTTTATATGCCGTTCAAAATATGTTTGCTATTACAATTTTCTCACGCATTAAAGACTATAAAATATTGATTGAAAAAGTCTCTTTTTTAGCTTTTTTTATTATCTTTAATGCAGCTTGATGTCCAACATGCTGGAAAACAACTATGGTTCATTTTTTAGCAGGTAATGCAATCAAGCTTTTTTTGTCAAAAACAGAACACTTGTTTTTAGAACAATACTCTGTTTTTTGCTCTAATTTCCTGCAACTTAGCCAGTTGTAGTTGGTGTAATTGTCTGCAGAAGGTGAATCTGTAAGAAATTATTTGATCACAAAGAATCTGCAGATCTTTATAATCAATTATTGTCTTACGTAGCAAACTTAACTGTTATTTGTTTTATCTTTGCCATAATAAGAAACCTTAAATTGGCATTGTAGTTTTGATTTCTCCTGTTTTGTTTGCACTTAATTATATTTTTTTCTGAACTGGAGAGTCAACCGAGAAGAAGCTGATGATTTTTTTCATATTTAGATTTGCGTTATTTTGTTCAACTGATATTTTTATATCACTTTTTAAATATATCAATTAAGTTATAATTTTGAATTTAAAACATTTATAATAAGAACTCATTAATGATATAATAAAAATTACTGTCGCAAATAACAAAAATTCTGTATTCTAATAATAGATCTTTTTTATATAGTGTGCATTTTGAGATTGATATTTGGGCAAACAACAGCCCAGAAACAATAGAATTTCCTAAAAACCTGTATGTTCGTGGGATAAATATTTGGACAAACAAATTTTTCTCAAGCAAGTTTAGTTTTTATTAACAGCTAAGAAACAATAGATTCTGAAACCCAGCACTACACTGTTTTCAAATCTGCAAAAAAGTTTTATTTATATATGTATATATATATATACACACGTATACATATATAATATTTATATATATATATATATTATATATATATATATATATATATATATATATACATATATAGTAATATATATATATATATACATATATAATAATATATATGTATGTAAATACAGTAGAATCCTGTTAACTTGGACTCTGAACGGGTATATATATTTTGTCTCACTTAGCGAATGTCCGAGTTAAGCAAAGCTTTTGGTATGTATAGAGAATTCAAGGGAAATTGAAAATTTGTCCGACTTAGTAAAAGTCCGACTTATCTGGGGTCCGAGTTAACGGGATTCTACTGTATATATATAAATATATATACACGTATATATATATATATATATATATATATATATATATATATATATATATATATATATATATATATATATATATATATATATATATATATATATATATATATATATATATATATATGTATATATATCTATATATATATATATATATATATATATTGTAGCTTCTTTTTAGAAGTTGTTTTTTTGTTTTATTGTTTTCTTATATCAATAAATAAATAAATAAATTTTAGGAAAGTTATTAAAAAAATAGTGTTAACTATGTTTATTTTATCTACAATTAGCATTTGTTTTTTAAGTGTCCCTATCTGCCTCGTTCTACCCTAAAATAATCTATAATTGATATATCTTTTTGAAAAATTTGATAAATTTCATATATTCCACATAAATATCTTTTAATTAATGCAAAGTAATACATGCTGGACATTTTAACAACTTTTTTTAAACTTAGTTTTAACCAACACACTTATAAAATCACTCAGTCAAAAACTATTGCACACTTGAAGTTGAACAAGACCTTAGATTGTACATTTATGTGAAATAATGAAATAGTGATCTATTTCATTATTTTACCTAAATGTACAATTTTTTATGACAATCATAAACTTTGATACTGAGCGAAAATGTCCGTCTTTGGTTTGATAGGATTGCGCAATTTCTCAATATTCAACTCAGAAGTAGTGATTCGGAACCTCAACATAAAAGCCAACTTTATATAAAAACATAACATCTGAAGGTTGTCTAAGGAAACACAGAATAATAAAGAGACTAAAGAAAAATAAAAGCAATGTAATCACAAAACCAGACAAAGGGAATGGTTTAATTTTTTTTAATAAGGTTGACTGCATTACATTTTTAATTATTCTTATAAGTGATAAAACTAAATTTAAGGAGTTAGTGGACGATCCAACTACTAAAAGAGAACTATATTTATAATATATTTACAAGGGTATCTTAAAACATTGTTTTGAAAATGATGTTTACAATAACATTTATCCTGTTGGTTCACAAACAGCAAGAATTTATAATTTTTTACCAGAAAACAAAGTTATTCCTTACACCTTAATGGTGTTACAGTTACACCTTAATGGTGCTGAATTTAATTTTATTACTTAAACTTTTGGCTAATGATCAATAAAGTAAATTTCAATTCATGAAAATTTACTAAATTAAAACCATATTTCAACATTAGTCAAATTAAATATAAATAATGAAGTAGCGCAGAACCTTATGGTCAAACTAAATAAATGAAAAAAAAATTTAATCTAACAAAAAAAAAATTCAATTAGCATAAATTATACAATCTTTTTAATTAAAATATAAAAGAATCAATACTACTTTATGTAGATTAAAAGAAATTGCAAAAATAGAACTCAAAAACATAAATACATAGTAAAAAAAGTATAAATTAATAATTTTTACCTAAGATGCGCAAAGACAGTAAAGATTTTTCTCTACCATATTTTAGACCTATTATTTTAACAATTGGGACTTATAATTATAAACTTGCCAAATATCTTTCTGATTTACTGTTTTCTTATATACCAAAGTTTTATTCTACATGTGACTCTTTTTCTTTTGTTGAAGAATTAAAACAAGTCGATAACTAACAAATATATAGTTTTCTATGATGTTGAAAGCTTATTTACTAATAATCCACTTAAAGAAACTATAAATATAGCTACTGATTTATACTTTAGTATTTAAAAAGTATTTAAAAGTATTTAAACTATTTTTCTAAAGCTCAATATTTTTATTGGGTTTAACAAACAAAAATGGGTTAGTAACTGCACTTCCTGTATACCCATTTTCTATTAATGTTATGTGGATGATATTTTTGTTATTTTTAATTCAGAGTTTGAAGCTCAGGAATTTTATAAACATCTTAATAAATGTTATGAAAACTTTAAATTTACTATGAAAAATAAGCAAGATAATCATGTTGCATTTTTAGATGTTTTTATCAATAATTCTGTTTCGCTTTCCATATCAGTTTATCACAAAAAAACATATGCAGGTCTTTTACAAAAGCTTACCAGTTTTTTTTTCTATTGCTATAAAATTAGTTTTATGTGTTGTTTGATTGATAGAACATTTAAAGTTAACAATACATGGCTTGGATTCAATTAGAAGATAAAATATCTATCAATTGTTTAAAAAATAACCCATTTCCACCAAAAATAATTGAAATTATAAAAACTGAAATGAATTATTTGTTGATAAAAAGTTGAACCCATCTGTTATAAATAGTATTGATAATTCTAATATAAGATATTATAAACTTCCATTTATTTATTTTTTAACTCAAATTTCACTAAATCTAAAATTAATAAAATCATTAAAAAATATTGTAAAGATATTATAATTAATTTAATTTTCACCACCAACAAATTACAAAATAGTTTATAAAAGATCCAGTCCCTAAGCTGTTCAAATCTAATGTTGTTTACAAATTTTCTTGTGCTGGCTGTAATGCCAGTTATATTAAAGAAACCTCTAGATAATGAACAACAAGGATTTATGAGCATCTTACAAGTGACAAACAACCTAATGTTTACAAGCATTTAATTTCATACGTTAATTGTAAAAATCTAACTAACTATAATAGTTTTAAAACTCTGTAAAACTTGCTGAGCTGCAAAGCCTTATTCAAACTTCAAAAGCACCACCAGATCTTGACTTTATAACAGAAAAATGGTTTAATGAAAACTATATTTCTAATCTCAAAAATTTATGTTATTAACAGATCAAAAAACTAATCCTCATCGTGGTGTCTGCAGTTCTTTAATGCATCTGACCTCAACGATAACATGCAAGCCATCTCTACTAGACTTTATTTCTTTTCCCTAAGAAAATTTATCAGCTGATGGAATCCCACAAACTGCAATTAACTCTCCTCATTTTAATGAGTTTAAAAATTGACACTTTGATTGACACTAGCTTTACTATTATCCACAGAAATGCTGGTACAGCTTATCTACTCACAAGGAGCTCAAGGGTTCCTACTCCTTTCAAGCAAGAGTGAGAAAAAACAAAAAACATATTTACTTTGTGCTAAATTAAGTACTTTTATTTAGCTTAGTCTTTACTATTTTCTTGCTGCAGCTTATCATTATTATTATAATTATTATCATTATTATTATTATTATTATTCAAAACATTTAATAACTATTAAAATTAAAACTATTAAAATATAGATAC